GATTCAGAGCGCTCCCACCGTCAATGAGCACTTTTCTAAAAAGCACTTTCTGGATGGTTGCATTGAGGACGAGAGGGAAACGCCCTATGTAGGGGATGTCCGCCCACTGGTCGGCCCTGCTGAAGGTGATTAGGACCTCGGACCATGGGCGATAGCGGGGGTTGGTGGCGGCGTCTTCCGTAGTGACGGCGAGCACCCATCGAGCGGCAAGCTTCCGTTCTCTTCTGCTCTTGGTGGAGGCAAGGCCCCCAAAGATGGTGGCGACCACCTTGTCGTGGTCCTAGAAGGCATTGTTATTGCCCCCAGGTGGTCGGCAGCCTCCGGCTCCATCGTTGGTGTCGTCATCCAGCTTTTTGTCCTAAAACTCCTTAGCTAAGCCGAGGCAGTCCTTCATCTTATGTCTGGCATTCTTGTGGAGAGGGCATGGGCCATCAAGGATCTTTTTATATTGCTCGTCGTAGTTGCACTTAGCGCGAGGTTCATTGACAACGGCGATGATGTGGTCTGGCCGGCGGCGGCGATTTTGACCAGACTTGGGTCCTTCTGGCCGATCACGGCCGCTGTCACGATGGTAACTGCGATCGTCGTAGCAGCGGTCATTGTGGCGTTGGTCATCAGGGCGGTCGTCGTAGCGGCGTGTTGGGTGATGAGTGCCCACATCCTCGTTGAAGCACACCTCGGCTTCCTCAGCGTCGGCGTACTGGTTGGCGGTCGTGATCATCTCGCCAATCCCTGTGGGTAGCTTACGGTTGAACTTGGAGCGAAGCTCACGGTGATGGAGTCCTCTGATGAAGGCGGTGATGACCTCCGCTTCCGTGATGTTGGGAATAGAATTTCTCATCTCAGAAAAGCGTCTGATGTAGCTATGAAGGAGCTCGGATGGCTTCTGATTGATGCGGTTGAGATCATGCTTGGTGCCCGGCCGAGTACACGTAGCCATATAATTATCGGTGAAGACTTTTTTCATCTCTTCCCATGAACCGATGGAGTCCGAGGCAAGGCTCATGACCCAGTTCATGGCGGTTGGCGTGAGCATGACAGGAAGATAGTTCGCCATGACACTGGTGTCTCCTCCGGCAGCGTGGACAGCAGTGGCGTAAGCCTATAGCCACTGTGTTGGGTTCATCCTTCCTTCGTAGGGCTCGACCCCTATGATTTTAAAACCACGGGGCCACTAAAGTGTTTGGAGTGCCCTCGTGAATGCTGGGGGCCCTTTGGGGTTGGCGATGCCATCGTCTGCAGTGTTGCCGGCGTTGAGCGGCTCAAGAGTTGAGTCTGGATTACCGTACTCTTGCTCGTACTCCTGGCGGCGGCGTACTTTTTCTTCATGGCGACCGAAGCGACGTTCATTGATGTGTCGTTGTGCATCTCGGAGATTGTTGAGGTGCACTCGGATGTCCTGGTCGACCTCCTGGTCGTGTTGGCAGTGATGTTCGATGCGGTTGCCCCTAGCTCCGCCCTGGAGGGGTTGCCTGTCGTCGTGGTGCTGGTCGATGAAGCAACTTTGACGGCGATCGGTTCTTATCGCGGCTGATCGGCGAATCGAGGTTGTGGAGTATGAAGGTCTCTGTTCTTGGTGGATCTCATTGACCTGACAGTGTGTCGCTTTAAGCATGGCGGTGACCTTGGCGACCTCGGGCGTCTGCAGGAGCCGGGCGAGCTCGTTGGTGGCCACTACGAGATTGGCGCTTGGGGTCTTGTAGACGTCATGGCCGTCAACGCGGACAAACTCGTTGTAGAGATTGCGTTGGAGTGGCCTTCCTTGCGAGTCAAGTTGCTGCTCGGCCATCGCGAGAGCAATCTCATTTGCTCGGCGCTGCTCACGGTTGATGTTTTGGTTCTCGCGGGTGGCGCGTTCCTCCTTGGTTTCACCGTTCCGAGGGGGGCTGTCGACGCTGACGTTGAAGATTGCGCCACCACAGAATGGAGGGGGAAGAAGTAGTTCGGTGGTCATTTCGACGATGGTCTCCATAGAGCTCTAGGATTCGGAGTCCGGATTCTCCTCTAGGATGGTCTAGAGGGACGCTCTGGGGCGACGGACGACGTGCAGCATGTTGATGGCCGGCGGAGGCTGGTCGGCGATCTGGTCAGCGAGAGGCTAGACATCTCCAACCTGGTCGGCGAATTTGCCCCTTAGGGCATCTTGGTAAATGGCGGCGGCGTTGATGAACCCGAAGGGTAGGGCCGTAACACCTAGAGTTTCCCGAGCAACCTCCGATAGATCTGGATCGGAGGGTGGTCGGCGCTGAACTAGAGTGTCCAGAGCCAATTCAGCGATGGAGAGGCAATCAGCGAGCTTCAGATCGACCCGATCGATGCATGCGATCAGATCATCATTGTTGACCTGCCTCCTCTGGTAGCGAGGAAGAGGGTGGTGAGTTGTCGATGAAGGGGACCTCGGAGGCGGTTCTGAGATCAGATCTGTAGTCGCAGGTGTTGGGGTGATCGGCGCAGCGTTGATTTGCACCGACTCGATGAGCTGTCCAACTCCGTCAGCGTTGATGACCCACAAGATGGATCCGACCATGAAGATCTAGCCAGGCTACGGGAGGGACGAAGAGCCTACGGAAAAAGCCATCTTGTTCGATAAGGAAACAGCACGCACACCCCTACCTGGCACGCCAACTGTCGACAGAATATCGTCGGCAGTCCTCCGAGGGGTATCCCACGAAGGTAGATTGATCGATAGAGAAGCGTGTGATCAAGAACAAGAATGCAACAGAGACACACGAGTTAGACAGGTTTAGGCCGTCAGTATGACGTAATACTCTACTCATGTGGTCTATTGGTTTGTATTAGCTATCGTATGATGTTGCGTGAGTTTGGAGGGGGTCCCTGCCCGCCTTATATAGTCCGGGGGCAGGGTTACAAGTCGGTTAGATCTAAGAGATAACCGAAAAGTAATAACAGATTACAGGAATCTTGGCATCATACGTATCCTAACAGATCTCGTAGTATCTTCAGGATATCTTCCCGGTGTCTTGCGGGAGGCGCCGAGCAAAGTCATGCCCCGCAAGGCTTCGTCTTGTGGGCTAGGCCGCACCTGGGGGCGCAGCCCATGTGGTCTGCCATGGGTATCCGGGATCATACCCCCCACATACACATTTTACAGATAGCAGCAGTTCGAACCTTTTGACCATTCACAGTCTCATAGATCTCATCAAAATCAACCCAGACACCAGATTTATGCTTACCAAGGCATGAGGTACCATCTGTGTTGTTGGAGCCAACCGACGTCCCTGTCGCCGTCGCCGACGACGTCGGGTCCGCCCCTCCGCCACCGTCCAGATCGATCAGAGCATAGCCGCTACCGACATCGATACCCAACAACACAGCAGCAGCCTCACAGATGTCGTCGTCGTCCTCGGGGACCAGCCCTGCCGCGATCAGGTCATCGTTGCCGATGAGTGGATAGACGACATCATCGTCATCCGCCATGGCGACCTTGACCGCGGACGGCTGATCTCCAGCACCGTTCCTCAACGGTGCGCGTGGCCGCCGTGCCCGGTCTATGCCATAGGAAGAGGACGACGAGGCATCGGCAACCGACCTGCACGGAGGAAAAAACAGAGAGTCAGAGAGATAGAGATACAGATCCAGAGTCAGTCGTTTAGTGGAAGAGACACAAGAAGTGAAGAAGATAGATCTAGGGTTAGGGTTAGGGTTAGGGTTAGTGGAGTACCTACGTAACCGAAGCCCGGTGCTGGAGATGACGAGGGCCACCCAGGGGAGAGACACCGATTAGAAACGACGGCGAACGACAGAGGAGGGACGGGCGGGAACACGGTCATGAACTCACATAGTTCACCGAGAGCGAGAGAGGAGAGGGGGAGGAGAGTGGAGACAGGGTCAGATAGGCGGATCGAGGTCACCAGAGTCGGGGACGACGGACGAGATCAGTAGATCACGAGAGAGAGCTCAGATTCGCCAGATCGTGGATGCGGCTGATGCAGGAGAGAGAGAGAGCAGAGATTGCGCCGCGGCGAGCCGGCGAGCGAATGGGGATTAGGGTTAGGGTTGGGAGCGGACTGCGGAGCTGACCGCCGGCGAGGCGACTGGGCGAGCGGGGATCGGCTGCGTCGCGACGAGTGAGTGGGGATTAGGGTTAGGGTTGGGAGCGGAGACGGAGAGCGAAGCGGAGCGGGCGAGGCGACTGGATTGCGGAGCGGGCGAGGCGAGGCGACTGGGCGAGAAGGGACTCCCCGCTTATATATGCAGGGCGCGGGGGGGCACGGGGAGACAACAAGACGGGCCGCCAACGGGCCTCCGGTTCTGTAGCGGGCCGTGCCATGCCGGCCCACATGCCTGGGGTAAGGCCCAGACACGGCTGCTCTCCTCCAGACCGTGCCAGCTTGGGCCCGCTAGCCGCCGGACCAAGCCGTGTTTGGGCCGGGCCAAAAAAACGGGCCTTGGGCCGGGCCGACGGACTCGGGCTGCATGGCTATGCGTGGTTCATGGGATCGATCCATGGGTCTTCTCTCACGTGCTTGCACAGTTTCTTTTGGCACTTATATATATGTAGTAGCTGATTCCAACTGTTACCATCGTCCAGCCTAGCATGTACTAGTAGCAGTACCGTAAAAAGCAGCGTCGCAGTAAAGCGAAATCTGGCCAACCGACCGCGTAGTGTGTGCCTCGTCTCGGTTCTACAGGAATCTCACGAGCTTGCCCATAGATTCAGGCATCGCAGTTTGGCCCACGATCAGCCGGTTTGTCAGTCACGATTACAGTTGGTAGAATTTCCTTGGCTTTTCTGCAGACTCAGATCCAGTGGTAACATGGCTGTGTTCACAAGTGCGACGCCGTTTCACGGTTCTGCTGTCAGTAACACATGCTATGACGCTTGTTAATTGGATCAGTCCTCACGGTAGAGAGAGAGATCAGCTTGTTAATTGGATCAGTCCTCACGGTAGATGAATCACAAACCTAAAAAAAGTCAAATGATTTTCGTAGCGACTGGCATGTTGTAAGATCTATAACAGCCTACTAGTACATGTGTACTATGGAGCGTCGGTAACTTTACAAAGGCCCTTTTCTTCTACGGTTCCTATTATACAACAGAGGTACAGTTTGGCATACACCAATAAGCGGAAAGACGGGAAGGGCGTTAACATTCTGATGGTAAAAGGAGTAAAGAAAGCATATGCAACAAAAAGGGGGGCAGCTCTATGAACTGAGACGGGATCAATCATTCATGGTTTAAACATGAGCAAGGGGCACCAGCGACCAAAATGTATATACGAACTGACAGCCCCTGTTACCCTATACCTCGTGTAGTCCGCAAGAAAATTCTTGTCAATACCCGAACCCTTGGGAGGGAATCTGAAATTTGGCAAGAGTGTCGATGAGCATTCATAAATGATCCTCAACAGAAACTGCATTTTCGTGAAAACGATAAGCAGATGATATAGATGGAGAAAGTAGTGTCAGATCTTCTCATTTGACTATTGCTACTGCTATCCCAGTCATTGATTTGATTTGGTAGGTAATCAGGGTGTGTAAAGCGCGTTATGGCAATAATGCACGCCCGGACGGGCACTCAATCAGGCATCTAAAGAGAGAAAGCCAGCCTGACCCAGTTTCAAGCGCATTACCAAATCACCATCCGATTTCCTATCAGCTGATGTAGGCACATATAGCACACAGTTCAGTGCACAACTGTACTATGCAGCACATTTAGATGATTTTGACATAAATAAACCCTAATAAAGCCAATGGCATTCAAGGAAATGGAGTAGGCCAACGTGTCCTTTCAAAATGTGTGCCTGTTCTGCAACTACCAAATAAGGAAGTAAATTCTTCTAGATAAACAATAAAAACTCAGAATTCTCTACTCAGTATCAAGCCACAAACTCATTAGTGAAAGTTGTGCTATGCTAGCTTCCATAGCAAGTGTCATCATAAGACGAAATGATGAAAAAAAATGCATAGTCATCGATTCGTAAATAGAAAAATATAATTGAAAATGGGGTTGGAATGAAATTAATACCTTCAGTAACCAAAGTCGGAGGACGTACCAGACAACTTCACAAAATACAGCAGCTATTATGGTCCCTGAAAAATGTACAATTACCAGTATGATTAGAAATGTGCAGATCAATGTTTCTTTATGCAATTGCTAATATGGTCATCAGATGATTGTCTGATGAGATGAAATATTAGACAAATTATATGCCAACATTACTCCTTAGCACCCTCTTGGCTGCTACTCAGCTACACAAGTGTGATGAGTCCCAAATCACATTAGAAACTATAAAAAGATTCATTAAAAAAGTTAAGCAAACTGTCAAACAAAAAGCACAAGCATACTTCTTTGGATCTTGATACTGTGTTAATGCCTCCAGGAATTGGTTCCAAAAAGGCCCAGTCTCCTGAAGACTGACATTCTCTGGTCCCCCAAGGTAAGCTTGGACAATGAATTCGTAGCTTTGCTCCCTGAATGCGCACGGCTCTTAGTAAATTTCAGATATGCACTAAGGTGAATCTAGTTTTTCATAAGATTCAGTCATACAGCTAACCTTCCTTCATATTGAGACAACCATCCCAAGTAAGATGCACCAAAATACATTGATGCAAAAGGATTGTAGAGATCATCCACAGAGATCACTGTATATGCCCTGTAGCGACAATCCCTGTGCATCCAAAGGGGAACTACGGGTAATTTTCCATATAAATTATGAACATACAATAAAAAACCAGAGCAGTGGCAACTTTGCTTCAAATACCCAGCCAAGTATTCCTAGTGCTTAGTTAATTATTTAGTTAATCTGCTGAATAATACTATTATCTGACTTTTGAACTTATTTCTTATATGAAATATTATACTTCGATCACTGCACACATACTTATGGGGGGCATGGGACTATACAGGCTAGAACTGAATTTCAACTACTTATGACAATGAAACGCTTGGCAAAAGAAAAGGGGACTGGTACTGCAAAAGTGAGTATCTAGTTTGTTGGGATGAACAATACCATTCAAAATGAGAAGCTCCTAATGAAATCCAAGTTAGCTCACCATAGATTTTTAGATGAAACTGTAACATTCAGATGAGAAGTTCCTACTGAAATCAAAATTACATCACCATATTTTTTTAGAATTTCACAAGTTCATGGCTAGTGAAAGTGTACAGTAAATACAGCATCACACTTGCCTGGAAAGCCATACAGCAGTAGGGTAGTCTATTCCCATCAATCCAGTCCGGGTACTTACTCCATGGACAAAGCGCATACTGCAGACCTCTGCAAGTGTTGCAAGAGCTTCCTGTGCAGATTCCGATAGGAAATGGAGAATTTAATCTGTATTAATTTGCAATACAGGAGTCCAGAAAACTGACTATAAGAAATTCTAACAATATATTTACTGTTATTGGGACACAGTGCTTTAAAAAACAGTCACTGTTATTTTATCAGTCATCCCACCTAGTTTTTATACATTGGTTCGTATCACTGGATTTTTCAACTCAAATAATTTTATTCATCAGTTTTACAGGGAGATACAAGCTAAGGTGATTGACATGTGCATATAAGGACATTTGCATAACTTTTAAACCTTATAGGATAAAAAATGAAGATATTCTGGCAAATAACAACCAAATGCAATAGTATACACTATACAATAATGTTGTATGAACTGGATACTCATGCTTGAATACTGTAAGTTTAGGCCTTCAACTTAAAATGATTCGAAGAAAAGAAAAAAGAAATAAGAGCTAAATTATGCTGAATGGTTTGGTTGCAAAAACACGTTCATGTTTCACTACATTACAAATTTACAACAAATAAGACATGCTATAAGAGGTGATATCTTTTATAAAATTAGATATACGACACACACTATCTGCTAAAATGGCCTGCTATGGCTTTTCAATCAAAAACTTACCGGTTTTACTCCTCTTGTGCTCAAATGGCGTGATACGATTATTTCGGCAACAGCCTGAAATCATAATTCAAAATTGGAGAAGTCTGTGACAAAGGGAAAACTTAAGTATTGGTGGCAACTCCAACATTGAGATAATATATATTAGTGTTCTTGTTGAATAAACAATAGGTGATGGCACTTAAATAAACATTAAAAATTGCTCCTCTGAAGACTATTTGGTCATGGCACTTGGAATCACATGAAAGAAAAGTACATAGCAAGCAAATGTTGAGGTTTTTCAGTTTTCACCTTTTTCGGACTAGTAAATAAACTATTGTTAGGATGAACTGAAGACATAATGAGGTAACGGCTGTGAACTATCATAGATTCATAATAAGTGAATAAAAAACTACTAGTGAACAACTGTGCCTATGTTGTAATATGAGCTATGCAAGACCATACAATATTCTGTTACATGGCATCCACATGAAAGGTTATGTTATTGATATCAAGGTCATTAACTACTAGGTCAAGAGTATTCTGTAGTTGAGTACGGCGCTGTGGTCTCCCAACTATCCAGATTTTACAAATCATGAAGCTGTATGGTTAGCTTTACTTCAAAAGGCGGTGCAGCACCGCCTTGCCTGGCGCCTATGCATTCTGTCGGTGATTTTGCACCTTTATAAGAAAGTGAGACAAAAATAGAAATGGAAAAAGATGACTTTTGGTCATGGAACTCATAGGTGCATGATAAATGACAAATTAGTTGTAATATTGCATATTCCTTTATTTAACAAACTCCAACTGAGCTGAAAAGAATACAACAGCTGCCTAGAATGCCTGGGCACTAGGTGGAATCTGACAGCCTGCCTAGCAACTAGCGATTTTTGAAACATTGATTTTTAGTAGCGTAATCAAAAGAAGCTGTGCAGGAGTTGGTAGTTGCAACCCTCAACTGGTATGGAAGCTCTACTCCCAAGAGTTTTTCTTTTCTTTTCGGATCAAAAAAGGGGGAAATGTATGTACAAGCAGAAGGCTGTAACTCTATGCAAAAACATATGCTATTTATAGAAGAACATATGATACTCAAGATTTTAGAACATAAGTAGAGAAGCTATTGCAAATATTTATAATCCTATTTACCTTCACCTCCACGCGAGAAAGGTAAGGCCTGTGCTTTGCATCATGGGAGAATCGTACATTTCCACGTCTCTCACCAGATTTTATCCACTCCTTATATACATCCGGATGTTTCCACATTGCATCCATATCAGCCTCTGATACCTTGGAATCCCAATATATCAACTGTGCTTCTGACTCAAAAATCATGTCAAGTTATAAGCTGTTCTTTTTTAAGTGGGGTGCATCTCAGTCAAGAAAATATAAATAGCAAAAAAAGTAAAATCTAACCTGCGCTTGACAAATTTTCTAGGTCAGGAGTAAGCTCGTGGCAAATCTCTGGTTGTCTGCAAAAAAAAAAAAAAAAAGGTGAGAAACAGTATTTCAACTGGGGCAAACTTCCAAAGGAAATGTATGAAAGTGCACAGATGAATTTGAGGTATAAGTTCAAACTTCAAAAAGAAAACATAGCTTTATCTGCAAAAGAACAGCATCTGGACTTTAATTTGCTGTGTAGTTTCTATTGTGTTGACCTGAATGAATATGTAATGAGATGTAGGGAGTTTTATGGCCATAAAGGAAGATTTTAGATGGCATACAGTCCATGTAGAATGGAGCCTGATGTTCTGAATATGTTAGTAGTCACCATACAGTCATCGCGAAAACAGAAGTTGCTTCTTACAAAACTGCTTAGTTCATTAGATTAATACTTTAGCATGTCAGATGAACAGAAATGATCTTGATGTCTAATTAGATAGCAGCATTAATGCTTAAGTGCAATTGTTTTTTATGAACTCAAATATTATAATAGTTTGAACTTGGACATGAATCCTACTGCACTCTTAATTCTTAAACCCTGTCAACCATGTCAGATTTTTGCTTAGGCCCCAGCTATGTTGGATGATCGAGGGATCTTCTCCCAGCTTGAGTTTACTAATCTCATAATAAATCAAGCTCTGTAAAACAGGTCCTCCTCCTCCACATGCCACAAGTGCTAAGAGAAATAAATTTAGTTAAGGAACATTACTGAAAACCATAAGTGAGTTAGATACGTGATATAGAACTAAAGTATTAAGAAAGAAACCTCATAGACAACAAGTTCTCTTTCACATAAAGATAACGCTGGAAGATAGGGGAAGTTGATTTGTGAGCAGCCTTCTTTTTGCCACCCTTATATGCTCTAACAACAAATTCTTCAGTTCTTTGTCTGCAGCATTTTGTAATATAATTGTTTATTAACTACTGAAATATCAGAGATGATAATATCAGTAAAACATAACATACAGTGCCAAGTAAAAATACATACTTGTCATCACAAGAGAAGAGCCATTTTGCATAAGCAGCACCAAAGTAGACATTTACAAGAGGCCAGTACAGCAAATTAGTATTATCTTCGATGTCATAACTCTTGTAACCTAGTTCCCTTGAAAACATGGAAAATGATAAATGTAGCTTCAGAACATAGAAGACAAAGATAGTTGCTAAATTGTGCTAATAAAGGTTTCATGATTACCTTCCAAGCCATTGAGCAACTTCAGGTGCCACCTGCATTATACCAACCTTGGTTTCTTTAGTCTTACGATCATAGGTATCTACAAAGAGTCTCCTTCCACTTGCAATTTCAGCAAGTGCGCTTATCATATACTGCACGAGAAGCAAGACCATACTCAGCAAGTCCACAGTGATACCTACCGATAACAAGATTGGTGAACATATCACCACTTTGCCTCACATTATTTGTTTAGTATTATCTTCAGACTCTAGAGAACCATCACAGCGTCATGACAATAAGTTAATATGAAGCTGTACTCACTGTTGGACGTGAGACTACAGAGAAAAAAGGGAAGTGCAACTACTTGTTGAACATAGAGAAATAGAACTAATACTGCATACCGGATCTAGCTGAGATTTGAAATGTCTATGAACGGTAATTGCCGCCACTGCCTGAAAGAATCAATGGATGCACACAAGAATCAATTCAAAGCCACAGCTGCATAAACAACAGACAGAACGTAGAATATAGAAGAACCTTTACTGTCTATTTTCATAGCTTAGTGCCTTAGCAAACTTAATTCAAGTAGATTTGCAATAAATACTCCTAACTAGTGATTTAATCGGTAACCACTTTGTTAAATATAGCAAAATACTACAATATGGCTGGCAACTCAATGTACAGTGTTGATAGTTTCTTTATGCTCGGCAAACTTGAGTGGAATTTCGGTGGCTGATACTGATAGCCTTCTTGAGGAATTTTGAGTGCCATTACACAATTGCAATTATTGGTTTTGGTCAAATGAACCAAGTAACAAACAGATACAGACTTGAAATGTTGAAAAGGTGGAATAACATGTTGGAAAGTGGTCATTTATTTAGCAGGTTTCAGTGTGATTCCATTATTCTAGAGCTATTACTATCAATATCATGGAATTAACAGACTACTCACCATCATTTCAGTTTGTGTAAGATATGCCTCACCATCAGGGTCCCGTGATAGATGAACTTTCTGTCCTTGCTCTTCCCCAGCATCATTCCACTCTTTATTTACAATAGGATCCTGCCACATTAATTTCATATCCTCTGGATCCAAGCAATCGTCCCAGTATTTGAAGCTTATAGCCATTTTGTACTTATCAGTAGTTCTTTGTTTTCTTCGCTGTTGGGAAGAAAAACAGAAGAGACAATGAAATTTAGATGAGATATGGTCTTACTTCATTTAGGAAAAGTGAAACAACAAAACCCCATGCCCCAATCTGCATTATGTTCTGGACTTACATATAAGGTGAAAAAGAGTTTTACATGGGTGGCAAGTTGTACATAAAAAGAATATCGAATCATTTCATCAACAGATATCCAGCGCAATCACGTTTCACCAGGAAAAAAAAAACATGCATTCACTTGCAGATGAAAACACTCGTTGGCGTCATCCAACAAACATATAAACATAACATAAACCAAACAATTAACAGTTAGGAAACACAGAGATAATGGAGAAGCACAAATGATACCGAAATTTAAACTCGTCCTTATGGAATAAAAACATGCAGAATTAGCAAGGCACGCCAAAACCGGAACAATTAGAGGGAGCAGGGCTACACGCTAAATTTGAGCTACCTTTGCAACAAGGTTCTAAGTCTCCCACTATAGCTGCCGCTATCTCCAAATATAGTTGTTTGCAGAGGACAAGGCTACTTGCTTTTATGTACAATTTAGCCGCTATAGCCCAATTTAGCCTGCTATTAGCTGTTTGAAAAGGGTAACCGCTAAATGTCTTAGCCTGCTATTTAGAACATGGTTTGCAAACACAAAGCTAGCTATGGTATACTGGTCAGCCTCCTAAATTTGAATTGGTGATGTAATTGGCCAAAACAAAAGGAGTGGACATGCACATGACACCTAATAATCAATGACTCAGACCGCAAGAGAACATTCAGCACCAAGCCTTCACCACAGAGACGCAGACCCCAATCCAGCACCGACGCACGCACAACGCAACAGTATACCCAAAAAAAAAACACTGAAACTATGAGAACCGCACGAAGTGCGAATGGAGCGGACACCCAACGACAGCATCACGCGGCCGTACCCGCCGCGCTTCAGCGTCACGCACACGCCGAACAGTGAGACCACCAGAACATCAGCGGCATGCCCTCCGCTGCTCCGCATTGGCACTGGCACCACCAAACAAAAGGAACGCGTAGGCAGCAAGCATCCCCTGCAACAGCGCGCCTCGCGACCTAATGTAACCGAAACAAAATCTATACACGAACTCCCCCGAAGAAAATGGTAGAGGATTCGAACATGCACCTCGCTCCCTCTCTCGCTAGATCGACTTTGAAGCGAACGGTAAATAAGATCGAGGCGTCGAGGGGATGTCGCGAATCGAGCTCACCGGTGCCCAGGCACGGGGGGCCGGTAGGCGATTGGGGAGCCCCCGCCTCGGGTGTCTTCAGGAGCTCGGATTCGACGGGGATTCGGGGGCGCGACGGTTTGGTGGGACGGGGAATCGCCGGCCGAATCGGGGGAGGGAAGGAGGGAGAGAGGCGCGTGAATGAATCGGAAGAGGCGGGGGAGGGGATGGGTGGCGAGCGGGACGTTTAAATGTGGGGGCGGGGTGCGGGGACACGTGGCGGGCAGCAGCGACTCAGCGCACTGCCGGTGGGTGTGTCTTTCTGCTCGGCTTCGCGAATGGGGCGCAACCGCTTTCCTTCGGAGGGAAGCGAAGGCGTTGGGCCATCTGATCGCTCCAGTGAACAGTGATGATCACTTGGACAGCACGACCTATCACGTCCAAGCGACGTTGGATCCTCCACAGCTGAAACATCAACAAAAGCGTGGCCCAGCCTGCGGTGCTGGTGCTGCATTGGCGGTGCGCCAGACTTGCACGGCGCCTGCGCTGCCCAAAATCGTCATGCCCTTCGCATGTGCAGCCTGGCTTGCCTTCGTAGTTTGGCAACATAATATACGTTGTTCGTTGGAGGCTGCAAATGATAGATCTCGGCCTGCTGCGATTTCTATGGGGATGTGTAATATGACATGATCACTTGATCAGTTCCCTAATCTGCATTCGGGAGTTGTGGTTTCGAAATATTGTGAAACGATGCCTGCTCGGCTTGCCTTTCTTCAGCGCTGCAGAAGCAGCGAGAACCCACTGGTGTTTCATCTCTCATGGTGACGGTAGCCATAGCTGTTGCGGCTGCAATTCACTGCAACGAACAAGCTAGCCCGATATAGCACTAAGTTGTGAAGTAGGAGTACGATCTCTGTTACGCTTCCTGAGTACATGTTCTCTTTCTCCTCCATCTACGTTCAACCTGTTCGCTTGCTTGCAATGTTTTCAAGACGTCCGATATTAATCGTGATTAATCATGACTAATCGTCCTGGACGGTTGGAGCTACTCGACCAGGCCTCTCGACTTGGTCAGACCGTCCAGGAAATTGGATGTCCGATTAGTCGTCGTCCAGTCACGATTAATCGTCCGTCCAGTGTCATGGGGCGCCCCACCGAGAGTGGGCTGCATCTCGAGTTGGGCCTATCTAGTTGTCTTATATTTTGCCCAAGCCCATTAGGGTTTCTCTTCTTTCCTACCCCTCACTCACTCGTAAGTCGCAGAACACACTCACTCCTCTCACCTCTCCCGTCCCAAAGCAGCAGCCGGCCGCCTTCATTGCTTGCAGCTCAGTAGTCTCCGTCTCCTCTCCTCCCTTCCGGTTCCCAGCTGCTCCCTCTCCTCCCTCCCTTCCAGCCTGCCCTCCCTCTCTCCTTATGGGCTGCTGCTGCTGCGCGCCAGCCCTGAGATCCAGCGGGTGCACAGGTCCAACTGCAAGGTAGGAGGATCTGCACGACGAAGATGAGTTCCTCCTCCTCGTGTCAGTCCATCACCATCACCTCCTCGCTCAAGCTTGATGCTCTACCTGTGCTTGAAGCTTATGCTCTCTTTCTCTGTGTACTTGTGTAGATCTGGATCGACAGTGGCAGCGTGCAGTGGAAGTGTACATGTCTGAAGCCGTTCAAGGAGAAGTTGGTTTTGCTCCAGCCTCCTCAGTTGCCTTAGGCTCAGCTGTTGCTGGTTCAGCATCCTCAGCTGCTCCAGATGTTGCATCTCTTATTGAAAAGGCTCCCTAATTTCATGCATAATCTCCCAGCTTCTTGAGTTAATATATATGGTAGATATCAGTACCCATATGTAGGGGACGACCAGGGGACTCGTCCAGGGTCGATTAATCGTCCTGGACGACAACTAATCGTCCTGGACGTCCTGGACGGTCCTCAGGCGTCCAGGCTCGACCAGCCGTCCTGAAAACATTGCTTGCTCGTATATGGCTTATAAGCCATGACTTATCAGCCAACAAACAATATCTTTCTCTCACACCAAATCAGACAACAGTACTTTCAGCCATGGCTTATAAGCCAAACCAGCTCAAACGAACAGGGCGATTAGAGTTGTCCAACCTATTTACCAGACTATGCGTCGCGCCCATGCATGGAGTTTCCTTTGCGACTTTTAGGACAAGATTAGTTTAAGGCCTTGGTGTACGTTATGGCAAACCAATATTTGGTTTTCCCAAGTATTTGACTCTCATTTGATTTGAATACCATATTTGGCTTATAGCACCAAAACATTTGGTAATGCTTAGCAACTAGAGGCCAACTTTTGTCACAGAAGAGGGCCAGCAAAATCGGAGATCCCATTTTGGTTTGCCCGGTGATCAAGCTGAGGTGGCGACATGTAAGTAAGTGGTCGAAACAATTTCATGCCTTTTGGAGTTAGCAAGCTTCAAAGGACCATATAATCCTAAATCATAGTGTATTACAGTCCGATTAGTGTTCCTTGCAATTAAATCTACAATTTAGGCCCTGTTCGTTTTGTTGAAATTTGGATTACGATGATTTATTGTGAGAGAAAAACATTGTTCATTCGCTGAAAAGTACTGCTGAAGTAGCTCAAGCGAACATGGCCTTAAAACAAGTACACGTCCATTTCATATTTTAGTTTTTTCAAAAAGTTAATGACATGGTGGGTCTACAAAAATTAATGACATAGGGAGCCAATGCATCATGCTCATACCTTTGGCTAGACTCTGGCTCGGTTTGCATAAACACTATGTTTCCAATCCAAACATCTCGTACTAGATCAAAATCTAGCATTGCCTAAAACTAGTCATGGCCAAATCTTGACTAGGCATATGGGAACATGAACCAAACAGGCCCTTTAATAATTTGTCCACATGAACCACTAATGGCGCCTTATGATACGTTGTGTCCATCGAAACCGTTGAGTGCGATGCGTTAGATGAGACAACAAGGTAAAAGCGATCGAGACCTTGCAACATCTTTTGCTTTTTTTTTGTTATATAAATATAGTATGTTGCTGCATCTTTTTTCACGATCGTGCCACTAATAGGCACGTATTTCATTAAGAGGAATTAAAGGTACATTACAAGTTACCTACTCATTGGTAAACGCCAAGCTTACTAGAGAGAAGGAGAAACAAAAACACAAGAAAGAAGAAGAAGAACTGAAACAAGAATTGAGGCAAAAAAACTAAGCCTAAAGGTGACATCCCTAACTAGACCACAACGCGCACACCTGCGCACAAAAGCAACAGAACAGGTTCTGTGACGATGGGAGAGGCAAACTTCGTGACAATTGCTGTGTTAACTCTTAACGTGCCTACGGCAGGAGTCCATCAACCTTCGAGACGAAGTCATCGAGAATGTGTCATCTGAGAAAAGGACCTTGAAATGTTGCTGCATCTGTCTAGCCCTTGGCGCTTGTTGTTGGGCAAACTCAAAATCAGAAACATTGGGTAGTAGAGTAAGCAGTGAGGAAAGCTACTCTGCCCCCATCAATTCAAACTGACGATGACTGAAACCTGACGAGCATTTCTTTGGTCGGTGGCTCGGTGCAGGTTCAGAAATTGTCATTCCTGACGGGGGTGCTGCCTCAGGAAAGGCACGTTCGACGACGTCACTGCAGCTCGTTTTACACTTGCCCCGGACGGAGGTTTCTAGGCCCTTTTCGGCCCATTCCCGGAGCCGCACGGCTCTGATTGGGCTCTGCTGGCGAAAAATAGCTTGCTGCCATCTTCAATGAAGACAATCCATCCAGTTGCTAATAAACTACTAAGTATGCTCCTAAAAAAAGAAGGGCTTGTCCTGATGGCAGATGGCTCATAGTCTCGATCGACAGATGGAGCAGCACTTTTCTCGTAGCGAACGAGTGGGAATCGAATCTGCCTTTCCTTGTGCTGAAGAACAATGGCGACTCATGGTGCTAATGCTTTTATTTTTTAGCTATATATATGTTCTGATTTCTAGCATGGATGGAAAAGGAAATGCTATGCGTGGGCAACCAACCACGAATTTGTTCTACACTAAAGTTGCCTGTCTGCTTTCGTGTTGAAGGTGACCTTCGGTTGCACGTTATGCTTTCCAAAGTGCTAAATTCACATAATTCCAACTTAGCTCTTACATCGCAACTATCAAAGAAATCGAGGGTGAATAACCAACAACAACAAGTATCCCTTTTTTCCCTGGAGAATACTGCTTTAGTACCCTGACCACACTATATTACTCCACCAGTCTACAATTCTTGACGTTTTAGATTATCTATAAAAAATGTAACTTTGGCTATTTCTGTTACAGTGTATAAAAAATCAAAGAATATACTATTTTGTTAAAGCAAATTTTGAGAGCTGCGCTACCTCAAGTTGAGTTATAAATAGTCAAAGTTACAATTAAACATATTGCCTCAGTGTCTTCAAAGTAAATATCTTAAAAGTTATTAATAGCAGTTAAAATTCTAAAAGCTTGACTTTAACTTTGTGTGAATGAAACAACAAAAAATGTGGAACTAGATAGAGTATTACATACTACCTCAAGTCAAACATATGACTTGTGGTAAAATAAACACCCTGTTCGCTTGAGCTACTTTCCACCATGAAATAGTGTTTTTCTCTCACAACATTTCAGCATATTTTTAGTCTCGTATGGCATAGCTCCGAGTCTTTCATCTAAATTTGGCAAATGATTAAACTGATTCGTTTTGTTCATATATACTTCCTCTATCCTAAAAGGAATATAAATCTCATTTCCGGATGACTCAAACAATTCTAGGTCTACAGAGCATCAACATTTATATTTTTAAATAGGTTTATTATGAAAATATATCCCATGATTAATTTAGTGGTACTCTAACTCATCACATATCATAAATTTTAGTAATTTTTTTTATATTTGCTGTGATTGACTTCTCGGAAGCGAGAATTTTGTTCTTTTGTATGGAGGGAGTACTTTGTATTAGATATAAATATAAAATCTTTAAAAACTTTAGTTTAATGGAAACGCTCTAACCTAAGCGTGATACGTTGCACCTCACTCTTTCGTGCCTTCACTTACATTCCCTTCTCAAGCCATCACGCCATCACGCCTGTGCCCCCCTCACTCACTCTCTGCAGCGCCGCCAGCCCGGCCCAAGTTGCATGAGCTCACCAGTGATCTCCACGCGCCACCCACTCACCCTCTGCGCGCACTACTGCCCGTGCTACCCCACACCCGCCCCTCTATGCGCTGCAGCCCAGCTTCGGGTTACCGACAAGCTATGCGTTGTCGTCGAGCTCCGCGCCGCCGGCGAACACACAAGTGACCTCCATGCGCCGACGAGCCTCCATTTGCAAAGCAGCAAGGAAATGTTTGCCCAGAAAGAGCATGTTGCAGACGTATGTTTTAAGTGTTCAAGGTGTTTCAGGTATGTTGTAAGTGTTTTATATCAATATTGCAAAAGTAGATCAGGATGTTGCATATGTTGCAAGGACAAAATATGCATGTTGCAAGCCTATGTTTTAGGCGTTTCAGATGTATGTTGCAAATGTTTAATTTGAATGTTTTAAAAGTAGATCTTAGTGTTGCACATGTTGCAATGGTTATATACACATGTTTGAAGCACATATATCAAATGTTTCATGTGTTTTAGACGCATGGTGCAAATGGTTCATCTGAATGTTTCAAAAGTAGATCTAGTGTTGCACATGTTGCTATGGCTATACACGCTTGTTTTAAGTATTTTATCTATTTTTAGACGTATGTTGCTAAGTGTTTTATTTGGACGTTTCACAAGTAGATCTCGGAGAAGCACATGCTGTTGTTGCTGCTAGTGCACCACCATGGGTCACCGTGCTCGCGTGTTAGTGCTGCTGCGTACATGCGGACGCGTGAAACAGAGCGGGCTCGGAGTGGCCCCCGCGCATGCGTGGGCCTGTACGGCCTCCAGAGTAGGATGGGTGTAACAGAACCGACCAATTATACGAAATTAAGTAAGAAAATCATCCGCCAGAGCAGACGATTGAGCAAACTTAAGCCCGTATAACCCGGTAGTCCGTGAAATCACGAAGGATTTCAAACCAACTTCCATTCCAGCCAAGATTGTAATAAGTTTAGCGGTCACCATCACATATTACATAAAAGTTCGCAATCTCAGATACATCAGAGTTTAAACATAGTTATTACAAAACCAGTTCGAATAAAAGTAGCGGAAGCCATTTGTTCAAACCACACACACACTCACGCGGAGTTCAAATATAGTGCCAGCGAATGATCATCTCCAACAAAAGCATTAGACGAGACGTAAGGAATGACCATGCCCATGGTCCTAAGCGTCACCCATCGCAGGATAAAGGCAGTTGATACAGTAGCCGTAATACATCTGCCCATCTACAACAAGTGGAAATAAAACCCTGAGTACGAGAAGGTACTCAGCTAGACTTACTCGACATAACCGAAAATAAATGACACCAAGGATTATGAAGGGCTTTATAGTAGGGTAGCTGACTCATTTGCAAAAGAAGCATTTTTAGCATTTCAAGAACCCTTCTAAAAGCATTATTGTCAAGTTAATTATTATGAACCTGTCGACTAGATTTGCACATATACTAGAGCAAACATGTGATTAATCAGATAATGATAACCACTGATCATTAAACAACTTTCATACCGTCATATTCACTATAACTGTCCAAGTATTCCATAAACATTTACTATGATGAAGTAACTCAAGTCAAGTGCTCACTATCCAGGAGCGATGGCGATTCGAATCGATTCCTAA